ATTAAAGGCATGCCGCCACCTCATCTAGCCTTTTACCATTTTCTACCTAGAAAAAAAAAAAAATAGAAGAATCTACCAAAGAAAAATCTAGGAAGGCAACCCTCTAAAATTAGTGTCACAACTTTGTAAGGCACATGCCCCGCCCAGTTGACCTTCTTTTGACTCCCTGAAATGTTAAAACCTTCCTCCCTGACACTGTCAGTTCATCTTGTCCTGACAGAAGCACACACACTCACAAACTGAACTTTTAAGCCCTTCCCGTCTTACTTAAAGTTGTATACTACTCCAAGACACACAGATCCTAGGCTGGTAACACAATAGTTACATTTTTGTCACCATCACTGTGTATATTCCCTCTGCCTGGAATGTGTTTCTAAGATCCAAATCATTCTTCACAAATCAGTTGGGCAGAGCAAGCTGGTGCAAGCCTGTAGTCTGAGAACTCGGGAGGCTGCAGTTTAGACGGAAGAGAGGATTTGATCCCAACCTGGTTACACAGGGAGACCCTATCTCAAAACAAATTGAAGACACCAGTTCAAGCATCCCACAGAGAAAGCTAGTCATTCACATCTCTAAATCGCCTCTTGTTTCTTCTGGGAATTAATCTTAAGTCACATGATAAATGCTATAAACTATCTTGCCAATTTTGGATCTTCTATGGTGCTTGGTATTATATGGGTACACCAGGGTATTTTTCAGTCCCCAGATTCAATGCAGTACAAGATATTTACCTATGGAACTCTGTGTGTGTGTGTGTGTGTGTGTGTGTCTCCTATGGGCTCACAAACTTGTCTAAATGTAAAATTCACATCTCCGGATTGGTTAAGATTTCCAATCTAGATCAGGGTGGTTGTGCCTTTAATCCCAGCATTTGGAAGGCAGAGACAGGCAGATCTCTGTGAGGCTAGCCTGGTCTACAGATTACGTCTCAGAACAGCCAGGGCTACACAGAGAAACCCTGTCTTGAAAAAAAAAATGAAAGAATAATAATAATATTTCCAGTCTGAAGCTGGGAATGGTGATGTAGGCCTTTAATCCCAGTTCTTGGGTGGCAGATGGTAAGTTCAGAATGGTCTATATAGTGAGTTCCAGGACAGGCAGGGCTACAGAGAGACCTTGTCTCAAAATTAAAAAAATTTAAAAAAAAATTTCCTATCCATGGTCTTCAGTAAAGTCTACATGGCATGGACTTATATAGCATACATTTTGTTTCTGCTGCAGCAGGCCATATTTCTTTCATTTTGGTTTGTTTGTTTGTTCATACAGCAGTGTAAGAGTTCATCGAGATAGAAGCACCTGCACTGAATCCTTAGGAGGAGACATTCCAGCAAAACTCTGATTTGTGCTTGTTGCATGCTTGTTATAATTTCCTGTATGCACAGTGTCACCAAGAGCTGCATCTGTCCCAGAACCTTCACTGCTAGCTTGTATGGAGGCTGCCAACTTTCCCCTAACCATGGGAAAGGGGGAGGATTTGCCAGAAACCTGAGTATCCATCCATCTTGATACGGTGACCTTGACCCTTCCTGCCAATTTTCTGGTAGAATCATGGCTGTCACAGGAACAAAAGACAGTAACCCAAACACTGGAAGCCTATACCATCCCCAGGTTCAGCAGTGCCATCCTCGATACCTCTAACCTCTCGTGTGTCTATCAGAGAAGTGGCCAAGGGCCCAGGAGCTCTTTTCCCCAGAGGGAAGTGGTAAGAAGAAATGAAAAACCACACTATGTTTTATACTTTTTAATAACTTGAAGTGCAACCCAGATAAGATGGACACAGTTTTCTAGTTTCAGAGATTGGAGAGCCATACACCTCCAGGCCTTTGTAAAATTGTCTACCATGGCCAGAAGGACCCCCACCCACTCCCCAAACTCCCATAAGCTTTTACTAACCTTTTACTAACCAATTCCTCTCAGCAAGTCCTTCAAGCTTACCAGTCACCCTTGTTGACCCTCCCAGGTATCAGGAATAGGCAGGCTCTCCACTTTCTGGTGGTAGCTGCCCGGATAACCCTGGATTGCAAGTAACAATCCTAAACTTACTTAGGAAACAGGACCCTTTGCAGACATACTGATAAAAAGAAAAGAAAAGAAAATACCCAGGGCCTGGGGTCTCACACATACTTGCTTAATCCACACCATGTAAAAGTTAAAAAAAAAATGCATGGACTACATCCAAACAGACTTTCTCACATGTTAGTTAATGATATTCTTTCTGTGCAGAGACATCTGCAACCAGGAAAATGTTTATCATCTCTCCATCCTAAGCAACTGTTGCTTTCTTTTTTCCCCTCCCCCACTCAGTATTTGTCCTTTAGGTGATAGGTCTCACTTTATTTCCCAGGCTGACACTGAATACCTGGGTCAAAGGGTCCTCCTACCAGAGCCTCCCAAGTAGCTAGGACTATACAAGTGTGTCACTCTGCCCAGCTCACAGTTCCTGTAGGCCAGTGGTTCTCAACTTGTAGGTGGGGACCTCTCTGGAGGTTGAAGGACCCTTTCCCAGGGGTCTCCTAAGACCATCTGAAAACACAGATATTTATATTATAAGTTATAGCAGTAGCAAAATTACAGTTATGAAGTAGAAATGAAAATAATTTTATTATGGTGGAGTATAAGATATTTACCTATGGAACTCTGTGTGTGTGTGTGTGTGTGTGTGTGTGTGTGTGTGTGTGTGTGTGTTACATGAAGAATTGTATTAAAGGGTCTCAACATTAGGAAGGTTGGGAACCACTGTTGTAGGCCAAGGCCATTGAGTCTCTGATCAGACCATATTTCTTTTAATATATAAATAACCAATCTTATATTTGAAGAAAAACAATATGTCTTCTCAAAGCTCTTGTCTAGATCAGGATATGATGGTGCACACCTTTTCATTCCAACCCTCAAGAAGTAGAGGTAGTTTGAGGCCAACCTAATCTACATAGTGAGCTCCAGACCAGCCAGGACTACACGGTAAGACCGCGTCTCAAAAACCCAACAGCCCTCCTGGATAGATCTAATTCAAAGAAGACAGGGAGCCAGCAAGATGGCTTAGTAGTGGGTAAAGGTGCTTGCTGCCAAGCTTGATGACCTGAGTTCAATCTCCAAGATCCAGATGGAGGAAGGAGAGAACCAACTCCCACAAGTTGCCCTCTGACCTTTACGTGTGCTCTATAACACAAACACATACTACATGTAATACACATTTTAAGATTTGTGTTTATTAATTTTAATAATCTGCCTGTGTGTGTGCACATGAGTGAGTCTTCTGGAAGAGCAGCTAGTGTCTTTAAATACTGAGCCATCTCTCCAGCTCCCAAAAAATTTTTAACAGAAAAAGATAGGTCTACTGAAATGATCTTTCTAATTCTCGATTCTATGCTGAAGTCAATGAAGAAAGAAAAAAGAAGGATTGATCTTTTTCTCAGTTTTTATTCGTAAATATTTATATTATTTGTTTTCTGGATATGTTCTAGAAATGGGGGTGAAATGCTGAACACAATGCCATCCCTATTCTGGGTTACCTTGGGACCAGTTCATCACGTGACAGGTGGCACTCTTTTTTTTTTTTTTTTACTTCACTTCACCTTGACCTCAAACCACATCCTGATTCTGCACCTGAGAGTCAGTTGACTGAACATATCTGTAAAACAAATGCTCTTCTGAGGCCTGAGGTATTGCTTGTACTCTGTCACTTCTATACTCAATGTGTTGTTCCAAGCACCAACATGAGTGACACAGTGACCCAGTGAAAGAAGTCCCAAACGTGCTCCTCGTACAAAGGAAAGGGCAGGAACTCCCATGTATTCTAGGGCAGGAAGAGGAGATTCTGAAGGAAGAATAAATAAAAACATGGTGGAAAGTGAGAAGAAAGATGTCCTCTATATCTGGGAAGTGTGCACAAGGCTCACCAGCCCCAAGTTCCATGGGTTGTAAGCACCATAGAGGCAAGTCTGACTCCTCTCTTCCCTCTACAAAATGTACAGAGTGATGGCTGGAGACATGGTCCAGCAGTTAAGAGCAAGCACTGCTCATGCAGAGACCCCGACTTTGGTTCCTAGCACCAACCATACTGATGGACTGCCCACAGCAGCCTGTAAGGCCAACTCTAGGTGCTCCAATGCTCTCTTCCAGCCTCTTTGGGTACTGCACTCACATGCACAAACCCACACACATATAGCGAAATGAAAAATTAAAATTAAAAATCTTTTCTAAGATCTCTTGACCGCCATGGGGTTAAATAAACACTCATTGACCTTCTGCTTCTTCTTCACAGGTGAGAGATCTTCCTCCCACGTCTTATACCTGTTTCTGCAGATTTGCTTCTGATAATATGCAGTTGACCAAAATTCTGGAATAGACAGAAGTGCCCAAAAAGAGTCTGTAGATCCCATAATCCACAGGGAAGAAGGAAGGCTTACTGTTCCATTCTATGTATGATGCCATTGTGATGCCCAGTAATGGCCCGGTTCCAGGATGGAGCCCTCCCAGATGGAGGGGGCAATAGCAAGCTACCCCATCACACTCTCTACCCACAATCAATTTTTTAAATCATATGCAAGATGCTAGAAGGCATCCCCCAAAGAGAATCTCCCCCATATTGTGCAAGAAATACTAAACTGCAAAATTTAGGAGACTCTGGTCAAAGCAAGTCCACTAGAGGGAGCACTAACCAACTCTATGCTGCAGAGAGCTTGGGGGCTTCTAAACACCCTGTCTGCAGAGTAACCTCACAGAGAAATAGGGAGAGTGAGACAATTGTTGAGCGGGAGAGAAAGAAGTCCTAGAAACACACCACTGAGTATACCCAAAGTCTGTGCACTAGGATAAATACCGGTTCCACTGCCAGAGGCCCCATAGACTGCCCTGGCCTCCCAACTGACACCTATCTTCAGGGGGCCTGGTTGGGTCCTATGCTGGTTCCCCAGATGTCAGACTGGGGTCCGTGTGTTCCCACTTGCTCAGGTCAGCTGTTTCTGTGAGTTTCCCCAGCATGGTCTTGACCCCTTTGCTCATCCCTCCTCCCTCTCTACAACTGGACTCCAGGAGGGAACTACAAAACTTATACACCAAGAAATCCAAGCTGAGCAAAATTAAGTAGCTCAGTTCGCAACTCTGCCTAATTTGTGGCCTCCTTTCTGGGTCAGCATCCCCAAGTCCACAGCTCTTCTCTGTTCTCATTTCTCTTAAGTGGAAAACTCTCAACTACCTGTGCCAGCACGTGTTTCCTGCACAAGCCACAGATAGCATTTCTGAAGTAGACCTCAAGTTCTAAAGCAAATCATGTCACTGTGTTCATGAGACCTCGGGATATAAAGTACCTGCAATGGCTACTTTCCCTGCCTTTCTTCTCCATCTGTAAAGCACTAGCCTCTCACACTGGATGCTTCTAGATTTCTAGACTGCAAAGTCTCCAGATGATAGGCAGTGCCTGTGTAGACATGAATAATAGCTATTCAGCTCCAAGACCTTTTCTTTGCGGGTAGGAGGGGAATCTACCTACACAGGACCTTTGTGTGAGTCAATTTAGCCCATTCTACCTGCCTATGAACACAGTGTTTCCCGGTTGCCTGGGCAGCAGGCAGTCTCCAGAAACCCAACATCCCAGTTCTTGGTCCTGCCTCTTGGGGAAGTTTTTCAGCCTGGATTGGCTCCCAGGACCCAGGCTCCTTCCTCCCTAGGCTCAATCTGCTTGGGACTCTATCTTTCCCAAGGAGTGTTATTCCCCAGGGAGACAGCACTCAAGCAAGAGAAGGTCCTCCAGGTAGGAAGGGGAAGAATAAGCATGTTGGGGAGACAGAAGGGACCAGGTCCAGAGATTTATCTTCTCTAAAAGGGCTGTCTGCTGCCCATAGAATTGCTCTACCTCCCAGCCTTGCCTGGGGTTCCCAGGAGACCAAGAACCAAAGCTTCTAGAAAGTGTAAGATACACTGGAAGACTAGAATTCTGACTGCCCCAAGACCCCTACCTCTAGGAGTCAGGAGAGCATTTCTGTATGCAGACCTACACAGAAGGTCTTCCCTCCCCCAGGGCAGCAAGGATGCCACCTAAAACCAAAGGAAAGGGGAGAAAAACTGGGGCACAGAAGAAGAAAAAAAAATCAAGTCCTGGTGAGTCACAGGGCGTGTCTGTGACACAAAGGTCCTCGGAGGGAATCCAGCCCTCTGGGCAACAAATGGAGTGGGTTTGTTTTGGTTTTGTCTTTTGTTCTTTTGACACAGGGTCACTATGGGACCCAGGCTGCCCCAGTCTTCATAGTGACAGGATTACAGGCGTTGCTACCACACTTGGCTAGGGTGAAGCTTCCTGGCCCTCCTCTGCAGATCCTTGCGTCCAGATTCCATGGGGCTGAGGAAGTGGAGAATGCCTCCTTCCCAAATTCCCCCTGGAGCCCCATCTAGTTCTTTGCCCTCATCATATTTTTCACCCTTATTTTGAGCACCCACCGTGCACATGGCGGGTGAAGACTCTGCCACTCAGCCGTAAATTTGTCAGATTTGCCATTGGGCCTCCCTCATCCAGCTATCTTCCTCCATCACGAAGGAAGAAGTGCAGGTGCGAGAGCAGCACTGGGGTGAGGCCGAGAGAAGGATAACCTGAGACTATTGTCTTGCCAGAACAGATGCAGAGGCTGAGGCCAAGCATAGGATGGTCCTGCTGGAGAAGGAGCTGCTTCAGGACCACTTGGGTAAGAAGTTTGAAGCCTCAGGAGATGGCAGAGATAGAAGTCCTAGTTAGGGTCATCGTTGCTGTGATGAAACACCATGACCAAATCAACTTGGGGAGGAAAGGGTTTATTTGGCTTAAGCTTCCAAATCACTGTTTATTATTGAAGAAAGTCAGGATAGGAATCCGAGTAGGGCAGGATCCTGGAGGCAGGAGCTGATACAGAGGTCATGAAGGGTTGCTGCTTACTGCCTTGCTTCACATGGCTTGCTCAGCCTGCTTCCCTTTTTGTTGTTGTTTTATTTTGTTTTGTTTTTCGTTTTTTCGAGACAGGGTTTCTCTGTGTAGCTTTGGAGCCTATCCTGACACTCGCTCTGGAGACCAGGCTGGCCTCGGACTCACAGAGATCCACCTGCCTCTGCCTCCCGAGTGCTGGGATTAAGGCGTGCGCCACCAATGCCCAGCTCAGCCTGCTTTCTTATAGAACGCAGGACCACCAGCTCAGTGGTGGCACCATCCACAGTGGGTAGGCCCTCCCCATTAGTCACTAATTAAGAAAATGCCCTAAAATCTTGCCTACAGCCTGATCTTATGGAAGCATTTTCTCAGTTGAGGCTACCTCTTCTCTAATGGCTCTAGCTTATGTCAAGTTGACAATAAACTAGCCACCCAATGTATGGAACATAGGGCATTTCTGGGTTCTTGGGGAACTGGAAAGTTTGAACTGTGTGCAGGGCTAAACCAAGATAGCCATTAATCTATTTGCAAGATTGTGAGGAAGGGCTAGGCAGTGAAGATCAATGAAAGAAGCTATCTCCCACCCCTTCCCCCAGCTGGGAATAGAATCACAACTTCATTCATGATAGGTAAGTAGTCTACCATGGAGCTAACCTGCAACTTGGGGAAGCCATTGTCTTATAGTGGCCAGAACATGGAGGGAATATTGACTTAGGAATGAAAACCCTATGGGTTTTGGGGCAACTAATAAAGAGTATACGAAATTGACACCTGTCACCAAGTTCACAGAGGTGAACTTAGTTCATGGAGGCCATGGTGATTGGTTCTGTAGGACCCACAGCCAGACCTGAGCATGGCTCTTGACACTGTCCACAGCTCTCCAGAGGGATGAGACCCGCAGAGCCAAGGCTTCTGAAGAGAGGCTGAAGCAGAGGTTGCAAGGGCTAGAAGCTGAACTGGAGAAGGCCCAAAGTGAAAGGGATGCTGTCTATGCAGGTATGATTTGATTGGCCAGGTGGGCAGGAGACAAAGGCATGGAAGAGGACAACCATGAAAATTGGGGAATTCAAGGAAGGGAAATGAAGAGGAATCTAACTGCCATACCCTACCCTCTGCTGTCCCTGCATAGGCAGGGTCCTGAGAACCAAAGACAGATCCCTGGCAGAATGCAGATTACCACATTCTAGAATGTCTAATGCTGCACGCTTGATATCTGTGTGAAACACAATGTAGCCATGGCCCTTTACCTTTATTTTTGGGAGTAAGTGGCAAGAAGGGCCAGGGTCCCCACTTTTAAGCTGATGTGTGGGGTAGGGGGACGTCTGGTTTCCAATCTCCCAAATTTTCAAGGTCTCCCAAGTTTCTTAGTTCTGTTCCTTGAGTGAGACTTTTCCCCACATGCAACCTCATTTCCTTTCTTCATGCCTCTATCCCTATGGTTCCTACCTCAGAGATGAGCCGCCAGCGCCGGGCCCTGCAAGAGGAGTTGAGGACCCGAAGCAAGCAGCTGGAGGAGGAAGTGAGAAGCCTACGGGAGCAGCTAGGTAGTCCCCATCGCTCACTCTTATTCCCCAGGCTCACAAACAATCATGGAAGAGTGGACTTGGGAGGTCCTTCACTTGCTGTCTACAGTCTTCTGGTTGAATTTTAACTAGGGTCACCTTCACCCTAGCTTTTCTCTGAATTGAGAGTTCAGTGGCACAAACCCCTATGTGAGGGGCTGGACTTGGCCTCTCTGGGAGTTTGCTCAGTACTTAAGAGCACTTGTTCTTACAGAGAACCTGAGCCAGCATCCTCATAGTGGCTCACAAACCATCTGTAACCTAAGTGATAGGGGATCTAATTAAAGTCCTCTTCTGACCTCCACAGACACCCACAGGATGCACATACATACATGCAGGCAAAGCACTCATACACATAAAATAACAAAATAAATAACTCAAAAAAATAAAATAAAAAGCCCTCCAAGATAGAAGTAAGGAAAGGTAGGACTCTCACCCCTTTTCCCCCTTTGCTTAATCTCCCCAAACCCAGCAGTTACCCCCTTCACTGCCTTGTCCATCCTAAGCAAAACACATTTCTTGTTAGTTTAGCTGACCTTTGCAACCAAACTACAGAAAACAGTAGACTTAATTTATTTTAGTATCTTCAAACTTGGGCACCTGGTAGAAGGCCTTAAATTACTACTTGTTAAATCAGTGAATATACCAATTAAATAGGAAAACAGGTCAGAAGAGGGCATCAGATCCCCTGGAACTGGAGTTAAAGATGATTTTGAGTCACTGGGAACAAAACCTGGGTGCTCTTAAACACTGGGCATTGCTCCATCCCCTCCTGACTCTTTGTAGTCCTCAAAAAGCCCAAGGTGGCCTCGAACTCACAGTGATCCTCCAGCCTCAGTCTCCTGAGTTGTAGGATTACAGATGTGAGCTACCACATCCAAAATATCTTCAGTTTCCGCTATAAATATTCATGAACTGCTTATACAGGCCAGGGATTCCATCTCTAACATTGGCCTTCTTTCAAATTAAAATTCAACATTTATTGAACACCTGCTACATTAGGTGTTTTGTCATCCATTTTCACATTTAAGAGTCATAGCAAACAAGAGGAACGTATATCATTTTCTCTCCAAAGATAAAGAAGGGGCTAGAGAAAGGGTTCAATGATTATGAACACTGGCTGCTCTTCCTGAGGGCCTGGCTTTGTTCCCAGCACCCACATGGTGACTTACAACCATTGTAATTCCAGTTTCAGGAGATCCAATCCAATGCCCTCATCTGTCCTCCACAGGCACCTGCATACATATACACACATGGGGAGGGGGGGCGGGGAGGGATAAAAGTTTTTTAACAGTTTATTTATTAAGTATAGTGTTCTGCCTGCATGCATGCCTGCACACCAGAAGAGGGCAGCAGATCTCATTATAGATGGTTGTGAGCCACCATGAGGGTGCTAGGAGTTCAACTCAGAACCTCTGGAAGAGCAGCCAGTGCTCTGAGCCATCTCTCCATCCCAATAAAATTATTTTTAAAATCCAGATATAAAATTAAAAATAAAAATATGTATAAAGATAGAGAAACTGCACCACATTAGTTGGCACAAGTCTATAATCCCAACCCTGGGAGATAGAGGGAGGACGATCTGGAGTGCAAGGTTGTCCTTGGCTACATGGGGAGTTTAAGGCCAGTCTGGGCTACATAAGACCCTGTCTTAAACAAAACAAAGCCAAACATTTAAGTCATGGAGACCCAGAGATACTTGTCCCATGCTGTATATGTAACAATCACCAGACTTTGGACCCGTCTCCTGTCTCAAGACCTCTACTCACTCTGCCATACCTCAGTGAGTCCTTATAGACCTGGGGGAAGTTGATGACCCTAAAGTCTGTAATGACTCTGTCAAGGTTGGTTACTGCTCTTGGTGTAGTGTCACCATCCTGTCCTCTTTATCTTTCTGCCCTGCACCCTAGAAACATGCCAAAAGGAGGCTAAGACAGCAAGGGAAGAGGCTGAGCAAGCCCTCAGAGAGCAAGATGAAACCCTGTCTCAGCTTCGTGCCCACGTGGCAAACATGGAGGCCGAGTATGAAGAAATCTTGCATGTAAGCACCACCCCCTGGAAGCCATCTTCTCAGGATCCCATAACCCTCCATCCCTATGCTCCCAACTAGTGTGATGACCCACAACCCAAGGGAGCCATCTAAGTATAAACAGAAGATACAACCATTGACAGAGCCAGTGACTTATAATCCCAGTACTTGGGTGGCTAAGGCAGGAAGATTTCAAGTTCAAGGTCAACACTGGCTACAATGTGCTTGCTATATAGCTGCTACATAGTGAGACCTAGACCAAAATAATCAGGGCCTGTGAGTATAGGTCAATGGTAGAGCTCTCACTAGTATGCAAGGCCATGGGTTCAACCTTCCCAAAAGAGGGGAGGGGAGGGGAGCAGGAAGAGGAATGGGGAGGAGGAGGAGCAGGGAACAAAAGGAGTAGCACAGGTTTGTAATCCTACTATTCAGGAGGCTGAGGCAGGAGGATCATAGGTTCAATCAAGACCAACCTAGGTACAGAGTTCAAGGTCAGTCTAGGCAGTATAGTAAGAGATTCCACCTCAAAATAAAAGGTAAAAAGAGGGTTTGATGGACAGCTCAGTGGACAGGGTGCTTGTCTAGCATGTATGAGGCCTTAGTTCCATCCTGAGTGCTGAAGAGAGAGAGAACAATGGGCAGCCAGGAAAGGTAGCTCATGCTTGCAATTCAGTACTTTGGGAAACTGAGGCAGGAGAATTCTGAGTTCAAAGCCAGCCAGGATACAAAGCAAGGGTATCTTACAGAAGAAAGGAAGGAGGGAGGAAAGGAAAGAAGGAAGGAAGGAAGGAAGGAAGGAAGGAAGGAAGGAAACGAGAAGGAAAGGAAAGGAAAGGAAAGGAAAGGAAAGGAAAGGAAAGGAAAGGAAAAGGAAGAAGGGAAGGAAAGGGAAAGGAAGGAAGGGAAGGGAAGGGAAGGGAAGGAAGGGAAGCCATTGGCAAAGAACTATTCCTAACCAAGCTGGGCAACCTAAGGCAACATTCCCCCTTCCCTGTCTCCGGGAACTGAGAGCTTGTTGTTCACAGGGCAGCCTGGACTGTCTCTTGGCCAAGCTGAGAGCTGCCAAGCCTCAGTGGGATGCAGCTGTGCTGAGACTCCACACCAGGCACAAGGAGCAACTACGTCAGTTTGCTCTCAACCCCCTGGAACTTTGAAGCCATTGGCCCCTAATTTCTGAGGCCTAGCAATAAAGCGACTTGGAGTAGAATTCATCAGAAGTGTGGATTGTGGCCTTTAGCATTGAGGAACAGTTCTCGTGGGGACATCTATATTCTGGGTTAACCCCATTGTCCCACTGTTCTAAACACTGAACAATAAGAAATGGAAAAGGTTCTAAACCCTCTCCTACAGAAACTAGATCCCATTCCCTTAAGCCTGGAGCACCTTTGGTTCCTTTAAACTACCATGGCTTATCCTCACTAAGAAAAACACAAAGCCAGATGTCCATGGAAAGACTGCATATAATATATATATATATATATATGTATGTATGTATGTATTTATTTATTTATTTATTTATTTATTTATTTGCATACTAAGGTGTTCACGTAGAGGCTAGAGGACAACTCCCAGGAATTGGTTCTCTCCTTCTACCAACAGGGTTCTGAGGATTGAACTTGGGTTGTCAGGCTTAGCAGCAAACACCTTTACCAACTGAGCCATCTCACTGGCCCACTGGGAAAGGCTGTAATAGGACATTACAGTGGCCAGGAACCAGCTCCCAAGTTTCTTTTTCTTTTTAGTTTTATGAGACAGGGTTTCTGTGTAGTTTTGGAGCCTGTCCTGGAACTAGCTCTTGTAGACCAGGCTGTCCTCAAAGTCACAGAGATCTGCCTGTCAAAGTCACAGAGATCTGCCTGCTGGCTCCAAGTTTCTAAGATGTCCACAGAAGGAAAATATGGCTGATCTCCAAATTCTCATGCCATTTAACACTGGAGTCATAGCTAGCCTAAGTTCTCAATGGCTTTGATCCTAAATGGCTCCACAGCATCACCTTCTTGGGCAGAAGAAATTCATCTTTGTAGCACAGGTCCTCAAAACTTCTACAAAACATCCCGTGGAAACTTGGGCTCCCTCATGAGTCCTCACCCCTCTGCTGGAGGTAGGTGCCTCCCAAGCAGTCATGTGATCATTGGAGTCTGAATTTTCCAAGTCCCACTTCCCATTTGGGGAGGTCATTCCTGGCTCCCTCCACCTCAGGGTGCAGAGCAAGGGCACGAAAGCCATTAGGCAAGTCTGTGCCAAGCAGGCATGTCCTATAGCAGCTCTGCAGCCAGGCTCCAGTCCTACAAGGAGAGAAGGACAGAGTCAGCCTGGGACCAGAAGGTTTCATTTTCCTGCTACAACATGTTGTGACTGCTCAGGAATGGGACTTGTTTGATGGATCCTCTGCCCCCACCTCCTACGACCTACAGTTCCCCCCTACACATCCCACAGTGCTCCACCCAGCAACCCTCCTCTCTGTCCTTTTCATAGCTCCATCTGTTTCTTTGACTTCACCTTTCCAGACTCGGAGGAAATCCAGGCTTCTAAGCCCTGCAGATTCCTAGCTGCCAGCTTCAAGCAGAGGGGTGGCTCGGCCTCAGCCAGCTGCTGAAGCCTATCCAGGTCACTGTCACCACCCACAGGGTATCCATTCACCTCCAAAATTGCATCTCCCATTTGCAGCCCTGCTCGGGCAGCTGAGCCTCCTGGGGTCACCTGGCAGTATTGGGGGGGCACAGAAACATTGGTCAAGTGTTCTAAGGCTGGGCATGTAGATGGGCAGCAGAAGGTAGGTGATGAACGATGGAAAGAGGCCAACGTGGGTGGGGCGTCAGTCACCTGGGAGATGAAGAGACAAGGCCCACTGGCCACGAAGCAGAGTCTGAATCCATAGCCACCTCCAGCCCCAGGGTACAAGAAGCATTGGCGGGAGCCAACAGTGTCAGAAGGCTCAGCTGCATCTTCAACTAGATGATCCTTGGTTTCCGCCAGAGGGGAGTCAGCAATCTCTGTGTTCTCCAAGAAGAGGAGAGGAGACAGCCGTACCTGGTAGTGGGGGCAGAGAGAGCAAACCTGTGGCACTTGAGCCCTGCTCCATCCCTACCCCCTCCCTAACCCTGTCACTTACGCACCATGCTGAAGAAGCAGTCAGCCTCAGGATCAACGACAATAAGGGAGACACAAGAGCCCTGTGCTCGGATCCTAGACACGGTTTCCTCATGGCCCAGCCCGTCCACACTTTCCCCAGCCACAGCCACCAGGCGGTCTCCAGCCTTCATCCCAGCCTTGTCAGCTGGCAGTCCTGGGTCCACATCCCACAAGAACTGCCCTGGGACATAGACATATTCACTTCTCCTCCCTGACTCACCCCATGCTCTCCCGGGGACACTGAGAAGAGTGCAACTGGATATATATGACCATCCTAAGGCCCACTTCCACACACACACACACACCTGCCACTCACCAAGGCGACCATTCAGGCCCTTCTCCTCCCGGAGCAGGAACCCAAAGCCTTGAGGTCCTTTCTCTATGTTTAGACACCGGGGCTTGGCAGGCAGTGCCCAGCCCTCTGCCAGGGGTGCAGCAAGAGGCATTCCCAGCTGATGACACTGTTCCTCTACCTCCGGCCCCGCCACCAGCAGAGTCACCTGATCTCCACTCTGCGAAAGCTGTGGGGACCCAGCAAGAGTAGAAGCATGAACCATCCATGGGGGGGATGGAGAGGTAGATATCTCCTCAGCACCTCCCCCCAGGCCCACACAAACTGTAGAGAAAAGAAAAAGAGGGGCGACGTATACAGACCCTCAGATCAGGAGGCGGGGTTCACGTAGCAGCCGCCACAGGAAGCCCTACCTTCCTACTGAGCTGGTTGGAAGTGAACTTCTCCACACAGACCCCATTCACTTCTAACAGCCGGGCCCCAGGGGGCACTCCTGCTCTCTCAGCAGCTCCTCCTGAACTGAGCACCAGCCAGAAAGGGCCCCGATTTCCTAAAGGCAGACAAAGTAACTCCCAGTCTGCTCCTTGCCTGGAACAGAGTCTGAATTTCCCATCTCTGACAATCCCATCTGGCCCTAAGCTCACCATGGGTGATGCTGAAACCAAAGCCACCTTCGTCTTTTACTATGTGGCACAACCGGGGCCTGACCTCTGGGCCTAGGGCAGGACAACAGAAGACATCGCTCCCCTGCTGAGCGCGCACCACATCATGTGCGTGTTGCGCTAAGACTGTCAGCAAGACCCGGGGACCGCTGGCCCGGATGCAGCGTACTACCTATAAAAGGACATGGGAGAGAGGTTGGCCCCCTGGTGGGATCCCAGGACCCCCTTAGAATTTGTATTTCCATTGTAGAAATCAGTTCTGTAGGAGTCTTTATAAAGCGCTCTAACTGGGTACCTCCGAATCATGGGGACTAGGGAGAGTGAGGCTTGGCCAATGCATTAGAGTGCCCAGGCAAAGAAGTGCTATGGAGTGTTCCTTTGTGCCACAAGAAGTCTCAGCCCAGCCTCACCATCGCATAGTCCTCGTGTTCCACGTTCTTATTGTTCACCGCTAGGATCCGGTCTCCTTCCCGGAGACCATGACGTTGGGCAGAAGAGCCTGGATCTACCCTGCACACCACATGGTCAGCCTTGCCCAGCTGCTGCTGCAGATGGAACCCAAAACTCTTTTCCTCCTCTTTGCTCAACAGACAGAAGCGAGGCCGCCGCAGGTTCCAGGGGTCTAGAGGAGGAGGTAGACAGCAAAAAAAAGGAGGGGACACAGTTCAAGTACAGGACCATCAAATGACTGGTAGCCCCTGAGTCCCATCAGAGCACTGGATAGCTTCCAGACAGTGAGAGGGTGGGCTTAAGAGCCGAATGGACACTTCATGGGCAAGGTGGCTGACACAAAGGGTGAGCTGCCTCCCTCTACCTCTGCTTAGTTACTGATATCACTGGGAGGCAGTTAGTGGTTACCAAGGTGATAGGAGACTGTGGCACTGTAATGTCTCTAGGGAAAGGTAATGGTTGCCAGGGGTGAGGGTGTTACCAGACTGGTCCTGGTCTTCAGCCAGGGAGAGGACAGGATTGTCAATGCCCAGCCTTGGATTAAACTTAAACTTCCTGTAAGGAGGCAGGAGAGAGAGGCAAGTAAGAGGAGTACGTTGCTGGACTGGGGTCCCAGGTCCTACTTGAGGTGCTGATGAGAGCTGAGAGTCCCACACACACCTTCGATTCTTCTTCAACCCTTATAACTTACAGAGTTAATGCAGCTGTGTCTCGAAGATCTGCTGGACAAAGGAGACGTAAGAGTAGAGACACACTCCTCCCCGAGATGGAACTTCCATGATAAAAACCTGAAAGGGCTTAGGAGAACCCCAGACCCCTCCCATTCTGCTCCACTATCTTCACACACGGGAGTGTTACCTCCCTCTTATTTCCCTTCCCCAGTTCTGTGGCACATAAATCTGAGACTACCCGCACAGGGTGTGGACCAGGAAGATAGACGTACACACTCACCTCACTCCTCTTTAGCTCTATCTATTGCCTCAGAGCTACAAGCCCCAATATCAAGTGTGTCTTAGACCCAAAGACTCCAAATCTGTCCCCTCTGCTGCTGCCCAAAGTCCCCTTTCAAGGATATCTCCCCACCTCCTACCTGCAGTTGCCTCCATAGTTGGATCAGTGACCCAGGACTTAGAGTAGGGACAAGGTTCATTATAACCAGCTGACCCTCCCACCTGCCCCTTCCCGAGTCACGCCTCCTTGAAGACGCTGCAAGGAAGCAATAGGGTAATGGTTAACAGCAATGGGACTTAGTCTCTGGAAAGTCAATGTCTATGTTCCTTCTGCTCTCAGTCCTGGGCCCTACCTGTCTCAAGAGAGCCTTTAACTAACCCAGTTGTTCTTGTGTCCAGAAAAAAAAAAAGGAGATCACTGGTCATTGGAATTCCAGGCTGGGGGCAGTAAGTATGAAAAGGGGGATTGGAATTCTAAGGCCCAGCATGGAAAACCTCATCCCAGGGTCTTACATGCAGCCCCTCCAGCAACAAAATTATCTAAAGATATTTATGTCTTTTCCTTTGGCTATCAGACTATTCAAACACTGGATCCCAAAGATTTGGAATTTCTCCAGGAATCTTAAACTGGAGAAGAGAAAAAGATGAAGCTCTCCCTGGTGCCAGCCAGAATTTGTCTCCCAAGAAGAGATGTCACAGAGTTCTGACAATTTGTCAGATCACCTCACAGGACAGACTGGAGCAGAGTCAATGAACCAGTGGTTCAAAACCACACCCTGACAGAACTGCTTAGTAGGCATACCTCTTGCCCTCTCCTGTATTTAAATCTAAACCCCAGGTCAGGACCCTGAAAGATGAGCTGGGGGCGGGGAGGGGGTTGTCACTGGACCTCTTCTTCATATGGCCACCTCAGACAAATCTCCTTTCTCCACTTTTCTAAGTTAAAAAATTTACTTATTTATAGCATGGAGGTGGTGGTGCATGCCTTAATCCCAGCACTTGGGAGGCAGAGGCAGGCGGATCTCTGTGGGTTTGAGGCCATCCTGGTCTACAGAGTGAGTTCCAGGATAGGCAGGGTTACACAGAAAAAACCTGTCTCCAAAAAAGTTATTTATTTAGGGGGGGAGGGAAGATGTGAGAAAGGGGAGAGAGTGTGAGTACCCAAAGAGGCCAGGAGATGGGGTTAGAACCCTTGGAGCTTAGTTACAAATGGTTGTGAGCTCCCCCAACATGTGGTTGCTGGGAATTCAACTCCTGTCCTCTGGAAGAGAGTTCTGAACCTGCTGAACCATCTCTCCAGTGTTTCTCTGCTTTTTCACTATTCTCTTTTTAAGTAGCTTATCGAGGATTATTGAGTGGCAGAGTTCAGCTTGTTAGGGCTGCCAGAGCCCAGGCATCGTACTAAAACTCCAGCAATCCTATTGCCTCTGAGTCTAGTGGCCAGGAACTATCCTCAGTAGAAGGGAAACCAGACTAACCCTTTCTTGGAATCACCAAGCAAGGAAGAGGAGACCACAGGGAGTGGAAGACACACAGCTTTTTAATAGCAGCAAAGTGGGCACACTTATCCTTAGTGGCCCTGGAGCCATTGATGCCTGTGTAGTTGAGGGGACATGAGGCTGGGAAAAGCACCAATGTGAGGGCATTTTGCATCCAGAGGTGAGCATAAGGCAGGAATGGGAAGCCATCCAGTACAGCTGCTGGATGGCAGAACTCTCAGCATGACAAACAAACATGAGAGGTGTGCCCCTTGCTAACACCATCAGAGGAGGGAGAGGTTAAGACCGGTGGTGGGCCACAGGGCATTTTGGCCACTCATGTGTCATATTCTTCTAGTCCTTCTAGGCAAAAGAAGAGGTGACATGCTCAATATCCAAGTCCAAGCATCAATTCACCATATTTTGACCTTGTGAAATCTAGCTTGGGGTCCTGGCTGGACTTGTTGTGGGTTGGGGCAGTACAGTTGTGCCCATTGCTTTGCCTGCAGATCTTTCTGGAAGGAGTTGTGCACACCGTAGAGGGAAGGGTTTTGGGGTCAGTGGTTCCACAAGCTAGATCACAGCTGTCACCGTCATCCAGAGCCTCCCAGCTGCTCCAGAAGGGTCTTGACCTCACTCTCCACTCGAAGAAGCTGAGCCTTGCGCCAAGGATTAAGGGTGGCGCCTCGGCTATCTTCCAGATCTCGAAGCAACAGCTTGAGATGGCTCTGGACCCGGGCCGGGTCCCAGCTGTTGAGGTTGCGCTGGATTTCACTAAGGATCACCGACCAGTACTCAGAGACCGCTGCTCCTTCTGTCAGAGAGGCCACAACCCGCGCACCACCTTCGCCAGAGCCTCCCAAGTCCCGCAGGACCTGACGACCCTCTGAACTCAGCTCATTGAAGTAGAGGCTAGTGGGAAAGAGATGGACGGATGTCATTCATTGGAGTTTGAGAAGGCCCAAGGTGGATATAGGCAGAGAGCCAGGAAGCATTAGAACTCCCTTCAGGCAGCTGAGTGGGAGGGGCCAAGCGACTGTAATAAGAGCTGCGGATGTAGCTCAGGTGGTAGAGAGTGCTTAGCACTTACAACAAAAAGAATCTGCAATAAGCCAGGAACAGAGCTGGTGGAAACATTTAGAAATGGAGGCAGGGAATCGGAGCAGGTTAAGGGACAATCACAGCGGACTTGGGTGGGCTCAGCACTGGGTAAAGCAGGATAAGAAAGGGAACACAGACAGCAGGCTCAGATGGAGCGCAGCCCCTGGGTAGGAAGAACATAGTGAAGAGAGGGAAAAACCAGGGTTAGGCCTAGGGCATGAGACCAGCCCAGGACTTACTGCAGCAGCTCCAGAGAAGGATGGTCCCGAGCAGCCTTAGCCAAGGCCAGAGCTGCTGCGTCACCAGCACCGTTGTAGGCCACGTTCAGTTCCTGCAGTTGTTTGTTGCGGTCCAGCTGGGTAGCCAGCAGCTCCAGCCCCTTGTCTCCAAGATCAGTGTGTAGCAAGGACAGGTGCGTCAGCGAGGTGTTTCCTGCCAGGCCCTCCATCAGTAAGGCAACCCCTGCTGCTGTCAGTGGGTTGTTGGACAGCCTAAGGGCCATAAGCAAGGCAAGGGTGGGCGGGTATTGTAGATGTGCAAGCTGGGTGTTAGGATTTTAGCCAAAGGGGGTACATCTGGGTTGGAGGCCAGCCTGGATGCAGACTTGAGGTCCAGGAGAAGGGACAATGAAATGAGAGTGTTGCCTGCCCAGGATGGGGAGTGAGAGAAAGGTTTCTCTTCACCCTCTTGTTTCTCTTGCTTCCTGACCGCCCCCCGCCCCATTTCCTTATTAGTCCCCCTCTTACACCTTCCTTAACTGCCTCCCCAGCCTCTGGTCCTCCATGCTTTCTAATTCCGCACCTCACCCCCGCCCCCGGTTTTCATTAAAAAAGAAAATTACTTATTTTGTGCATGTGTGCCTGTGAGTGTGAGGTGAGGGAAGAGGCTATGGAGATCAGAGGACAATTTGTGAGAATTGGTTCTTCCCTTCCAACCAACTTGTGGGTTCTGGGGACTAAACTCAGTTTGTCAGGCTTGGCAGCAGCCACCTTTACCTTCTGAGCCATCTCACCAGGAGTCCCCTTCTGCACTCCTTTCTCCTTCCTCATTCGCCTTTCCTGATTCTAACCAGAAACCAGGACCCCCAGGCATCTGGGTTCCTAGGAAATTAGCTAACATCTTGGGAGCAACTAGAGAGTATCCAGCGTTATGGTGAGTCTGCAGAGAACAGTGACTCTGTTGCCAGGCAACTGGCCCAGGAATTACTGCAGCTTTCCTGTCCCCCAGGCTAATATTAGCCAGGAGAAAGGCTTTCTTAGCACCCACTCCTGGTGTCTTCCTTGCTACTTTCTTTATATTTATTTTTGATTTGTTTGTTTTGGGGGGGAACTGAGTTTCTCTGTGTACCACAGACTGTCTTGTAAACCCTGCAGGAACTTGCTCTGTAGACCAGGCTAGCCTTGAACTCACAGACCACCTTTCTCTGCCTCCTGAGTGCTGGGGTTAAGGACATGTGCCACCACCTTGCTCCTTTCTGATGTTTGTAATAGACATGGACAAGAAGCTAGCCAGGGCCCAGACAGCCTCTTTTCTAGAGGCAGGGTGGGCTTGTGCCAGCCATGTTGTAAGGCAGGGTGCTCTCCATGTTAGAAGAGCCAGACACTCCCATCAGGCCCCTGCTAGGACACTCACCGCAGAGTGGTAATCTGGCACTGGTTGTGTAGCAGCAGGTCTCGGAGGTCCCTGCAGGCCTCAGGGCCCAGGCTGTTCAGTTGCAACCTGGAGCAGAAGGTGGCCCGAGGAGAGGTAAGAGACCAAGAATGCAGTTCAGCATGGGGTCTTCCTATGGACTGTGCCCTTTCCTCACCAGCCTGCTTCCTACCATCAACACTTGTCTTCCCTCATCCTGCTCCTGTCACCTCTGCCCACACCTTCTCCATCCTACCCTTCTGGGGTCTGCTATGTCAAGGGACATGAGTTGGAGGTTTGTGGTTGTATTGCAGGAAGGAAGAGCCTTGAGAGATGGAGCCTGTTTTGAAGAGCAGGAAGGGGATCTGCTCTTGGAGTGGATTAGCTGGACTTGTGGTTCCCACCAAAATGGGTTGTTGTCCAGCAAGCCTTCTCCATGCGCCTGGCCTTATCTACACACAGCTGTTTCCTTCTCTGTTCTTCTGCCAGGTTGAAATGCAGCCTCAGGGGTTTTCAGCAGATGAACCCAAGCACAGCCTTTCAGCCTCCAAAGCTATAAATTCCTCCCCCCACTATCCTCCTTCTTGAGATAGGTCTTCTTATTTTAAGAGTTTATTTGATTATTTCTGTATATGAGTGTTCTACCTGCATGTATGCCTTTATGCCTTAAGAGGGCCACCATGTGGTTGCTGGGAATTGAACTCAGAAACTCTGGAAGAGCAGCCAGTGCTCTTAACCTCTGAGCCATCTCTCCAGCCCTAAGAGGCAGGGTCTTATGTAGACCAGGCTGGCCTGAAACTCACAGTGTAGCTCAAGCTGAACTCAAACTTACAGCATTCCTCCTGCCCCAGTCTTTTGAATGCTGGGGCTCAGGCCTAGCCTTAGGTATTGTTTTAGCAACAGAAAGCAGATTCAGACATGTCCTCTGCCCTTCTTCATTCCTCTGGC